CGCCCTGGCTGGGGGGGGGGGGGGGGCTGTGACCACCGACACCAGGAGTGAGCCCCTCGGCCACCCTCCTGCCCTCTCTTGTGATGGGTGGCACGGGTGGATGGTCCAGCTGCCTTGGAAATAGTCAACTACAACTGATTGTAGAATTCCCTGCCTCTTTCAGCCCAGGGAAGCTTTCTGTCCCCTCTCTGGATTTTTTTTTTCACAGTCTGGCTGGGTTTGCAGCCCTGGCACATGCACAGCTTACACAGCTTCACCTATTTCTGGCACTGGTTCCCCATCTTCTTCCTCTGGTGCCTTCTGGCTGGGTGTGTGCTCCAGCTGCCTGGACCCCCGAGGGGCTCTGGGGCTGCCCCAGCACGGCCAGGAGCTGTGGTGGCCCAGGGGCCAACTGGGAGCAGCTGTGCTAGCCCAGAGGCCAGCACCCCCCCAGTCCCTCTCCTGCAGCCCTGGGTCCTCTCTCTTTACTCCAGGTGCCTTCCAGCATCCCTTACAGCATCTCTGTCCTGCTGCTGGTCACACAGGGCGGGGGGGGGTGTCTCAAACATTATGAGTACAATATCCTTTGTGTTATTAAGTTGAAAATCAGCAGATTCTCCGGGGGATGTGTCTCTCCTCTGTAGGGCTGCCAATCCGCCCTGTGCTGCTGAGTCACCAGGATGCTTTCCTTGGAAAGAAGGAAATGGCAGTTTCCAAAACGGCTCCTGTGTAAGGTTGTTGTTTCCGTTACACGAAGCTCTGCACAGAGAGAATGGGCTGACACACAAACATGCTGTGAGGATGCTCCCTGGAACAATGCGATGCTAATAATGGTTTTCCAAGAAAAAACTCTGTGCTTCCTCCCATTCATCCCACCCGCCGGCTCCGTGTGGATTTTCCTCCTGGTCTTCAACTCCGGTGTTCCCCTTCCCAAGGCTGCCTGGCACCGGGCCTGAGCCTGGGGACACAGTTATGGACTGAGCTGGGCCACCAGCCTGGGGAAGCAGATGCTGGTAAGTGGCCTCTTTGGATGTCACTGACTATGCCCTTTGCTCTTCCCACCCCGCAAGGGTTCCTGCCTGGGATGCCCGTACCAGTGCGTGCTGGCAGCCCAGAGAGCCAACCGTGTCCTGGGCTGCATCAGGAGAAGTGTGGCCAGCAGGTCTCGGGAGGTGATTCTGCCCCTCTGCTCTGCACTCGTGAGACCCCACCTGGAGTCCTGTGTCCAGCTTTGGAGTCCTCAACACAGAAAGGACATGGACCAGCTGGAACAGGGGCAGCGGAGGGCCACGAAGATGCTCAGAGGGATGGAGCACCTCTGCTATGGAGACAGGCTGAGGGAGCTGGGATTGTTCAGCCTGGAGAAGAGAAGGCTCCGGGGAGACCTTATAGTGGCCTTTCAATACCTGAAGGGTGCCTATAGAAGAGCTGGGGAGGGACTCTTTGCCAGGAAGGGTAATGATAGGACAAGGGGAAACGGTTTTAAATTGGAAGAAAAAAGATTCAGATTAGATCTCAGGAGGACATTTTTCACTCTGAGGGTGGTGAGACACTGGAACAGGTTGCCCAGGGAAGTTGTGGCTGCCCCATCCCTGGAGGGGTTCAAGGCCAGGCTGGATGGGGCCTTGAGCAACCTGGTCTGGTGGAAGGTGTCCCTGCCCAGGGCAGGGGGTTGGAACTCGATGATCTTTGAGGTCCCTTCCAACCCAAACCATTCTGTGATTCTATGATTCTACTTTTCCTGCCTTACCATCTCCCCCAAAGTGTCTCTCCCTGCCGGAGCATGGGCCCAGGCGCTCGCATTCCTACCAAATCCACCACCTTTCTGCTTCCAAACTCAGCTCTGGAGGCACTTCTTCACTGCACTGAGTGGTTTTTAGCAAAATTGAACTGAAACTATTCCCCTCCAGCGGGTGCAAAGCAGGGGAGGCTTCCTCCTGCAGCCTCCGGAGCTGTTGGGGTTGCTCAGGCTGACCTAAACCCCAGGTTTCTCTGTAGCTCAGGATCTTATGAGGGTTTCTGCTGGACCCAGCAGCGGCATTTCCTTCCCCTCTTCAGCTGGGTCCCTCCTACCCCACAGCTCCAGTGTGAGCTCCTGGGTTCTCCTCTCCCTCCCAAATCTCTGAGAGTTTGCCTGCGCAGAACAGAGGGAATGTGAGGTTGTGACATCATCTCTGTTTCTGGAAAAAGCTTAAATTTTGCTATTTTGCTTAATTTCTTGTGCAACTGCTCAGTATTAAAGAAAGCCTTTCCAAGTTTCATCGTTCACCCATGTAGCTGAGCCCCAAAGGAGGTAGGATGAAGCCAGGGATATTTCTTTGTGAAAGAGTGACATGTTGGTGGCATTTAAGCCAGAACAGAAGTAAATTAAACATCCAGAT